CGCTAGAAAGCAGCAATGCGTTAGCTTGCAGATGCAGAGTACGTTTTCCAAGTCCAGTCCGCATCGTGCTCTCATGTCAAGCTGATCTATTTGCTTTTTGCTGCTACCTAATGCTACAACAAATTTAAACAGCACTTTTCAGTGCTAAATATTGTCTGTAAATTTTCTACGTGTTCAAATCTTATTCCTCTTCGATCCTTGTTTGGACCCTACCCGAGGTTATCTTGCTTGGATATTGATTTGGAAAATTCCTCTTTGATCCTTCGGATTCTTATATGTAGCAATCTGCTTGGAGCCCCGTAGCGTGGATAGTTCAATCAGTAATCAAAGGAACTCATCTTGTTATTTTTTATGCCATGTTGATAGTGACAAGACTCAGTTTGTCCACCGAGAATGATCTTGAAACAAGGAAAAATTTAGTTAGTTAGTCTTCATCTTTGTGATTCCTAATCTTCTTTTCGTTGTTCGCTAATTTGGAGTGGTTAAGAATAGGGTTTTGATGCATGGTCATTATCGGTGGCATTGCTTAATTTTATTGCTATGCATTCCTGTATGTAAAAAATAATGTAGCACAATCTGGGTATCTTATGAACTGTCGGGGTTATGGTACATGAATTGGCATTCTGGTAAATGGCGTATGAGTTTTAATTAGATTCGGAGTTATAGTAAATTACACAGCAAAAAATAAATTTTAATATCACATCCAAGAGGATGCACTTCAACCATGTCGAAAATCTTATGTAATTTTTATGGCCACAAAAATAAACAAATGCAGTAAAAGCAGCGTAATGTCAGTTCATGCACTGTATTAATGATAATTTTGTTCTTTTTTGCAAGTAATATTACACCATATTATTGGCACGATTGAAGTGCATCTACTTTGATGTGATATCAAAATAATTGTATTGCTGTGTAGGGTTAATGGCGTTTGGGGAAACGGAGGGCCTCCCTTATCTCAGTCGCTAAAGGAGCAGCTACAAAGGAAGATCATGCTGCAGGTGGCTGGGTTCGATTCCCGGTCCGGTCCAGGAATTTTTCGGGTTGGAAAATTTCTTGACTTCCCTGGGCATAAGAGTATGATTGTACTTGCCACACAATAATACTAATGCAAAAATGGTACAAGCATCGAAAGCTCTCAATTAATAACTGTGGAAGTGCATCTAGAACACTAAGTTGAGCGCACGTAATAAGCTAATATGTTATAAGCAATAACAGGGTGTCGACTCAAAGTCGAAAATAAAATTCCCTGACTTCCCTGACTTTCCAGCCGGTTTTCAGAAAATTTCCAGTCCACAAAACTTCGTTATTTTAACCTAAGAAGCTACAACGTGATGTGCTTTATTATACCGTAGCGTAAATTAAGGTTAGTTTAAAATGAGCAGCAGGGTAAGCTTTCGAAAATATCAAGAATAGCATACTCATGGCACTTACAACAGAACTTGATACTAATACAATTTTTACAGACCATATGACCGACTACCTACGAAGGATGTGAATAGACCTAGGGCTTTAAATACATATTATAATATAATAATGAATAACTGCTGCTCACAACTAGGCTCCCTATTCATTACTAAGTAAGGGGTACCACAAAAGATCAAATAATGGACGCACCTCTCAATTTGTGTTCATAATTTCACAGCCAAATAAAAATCAACCCGTAGACGATCCTTTCTCTTTACATATAAATTATTGTAAAATAAATACAAAAAAAAAAATAAAAGGCATTAGTCAGTTTCGTACTCTCTAGAACTCCATATGACAACCGCAGACATGGTAAAGTAATTTAAGTTTAATTATCATTAACATTTTATTCTCTCAGTAAGTTCACATAACAACGAGAAATTGCAAGTTGAATATGTGTTAATTTTCGGATTACTTTTAAAAATGTTTATCATGAACACTTTTCTCCTGCAAACGACGATCCTTGTCTACATGGAAAGCGAATGCGATTTTTCGAACTCGCTGAATAATTTCATTCAAAATTTGTAAGTTTTCGAACCCGCTTGCATGAGTAACACCATCATAGATCTGACGTCGCACTACGACCAACCGGTGAACACTCGTGTTTATTTCAGTTACCATGGAGACGTAATTTGTGATTAGCCCCGGTCCCTTTCAAATTGTATCATTATTTATGAACGGCCTTATATTTGAAATGACGTTTCACATTCATCTAGTGATGTCCGATTTTCATTCGAATAATCGTTTAATCGATTAACGAACCGAAAAGTAAACTATTTATAATCGGTTAGATCATGCCGATATAAGCATTAACATCTCCACAGGATCATCACCGATCGTTTCAAACATGTGCTGCACTCTCATTCGTGGAAAAATGGCAGCACAGCGAACAAATAATAATCGATTAGTTGTTAATCGAGTAATTAAAAAATGGGACATCTCTGATTTTGGTGTGATTGTTTTGATAAAAATGAGCGCAAAATTTCATCTCTTCCGAGCGGGCAGCAAAACCACAAAATTACCTTGAATACGGGGGGTTCTCATTGGATGAAAGGGACCGTGAAAGAAGACACTAAAATAGAAAGTTTTTCTTCCGACAGTTTCATCTTAGTATTCATCTTTGCTACGACTGAAGGCCCAAACGCAATGTGGGCGGAAGCGGAACGGAAACGGTGTCACAAATGACATCAAGATGCCTAACCGCACTCGATTTGATTCTAAAGGCCGGCGCACAATAGATACGTTTTCAGGTTTTTTGACAGTTAGCCCATGCATTATTTGTCAAAAAACCCGAAAACGTATCTATTGTGCGCCGGCCTTAACTAGTTTTCAATCCGACAAATAGGCTTACTCAGATCGGGCTTTTCCGCTTCCACTGCCGTTCCGCTGTCATTGCGCTTGGGCCTTGACTCTTCCCTCATGTTTTCAAAGATATTCTGCATTTACCGAAAAACCTCTCTCTGCATTGGCGTTGCCATGCGATAAGCAGCAAATCATTTTCACAACCAACAATAGTTCTGAATACGCCGACCAATAACCTGTGCCAAAAAACGTCCAGTCGTTCCGTTTTTGCGATCATATTGATCAAATGTGCATTTACCTGTGCAATATTGTTATTATTATTTATTATTAGTCCATCTGACTTTAAAGTCTTAATAAAACACTTAAAGCTAAAAGTAGTCATACATTAAAATTGCCCGACATTAAGCGATTACGAAATCTGGATGAAGTGATGCCAAAATTGAATTGGTCGGATACCACGTTGAATTCGTTCAATTCGTTCCAGTCTATCTCGGACAAGGAACGTCGCAGCAAACGTAAATCAGTCTTCCGGAAGTTGAGACGATAGACAATCGAAGTTTCATCAAAGTGAAGTTAAGATCTATTTGCGATAGAAATATCCAAAGCAGGATGGAAGTTGTCAAGAGGAACGATGACATCAGGTGCCTCAGTAACGGTACAGTCAAGAAGTGAATTTTCACTAACGAACACCAAGTCTAGGAAATGAGACTGAAAGTTGGGAACTAGATTTATCTGCCTCAATCCATGAAAACCAGTACCGTCCACAAGCAAGCGGCTGGCCGGAGTAGTAACAGATGCTTTTGGATCTGGATATGCAAATCCCTGACCTGAGTGCGACCAGATAAGCCCAGGTTGATTGAAATCACCGAGCATAAGAATCATGTCCGAATAATTAGCCCTAGAAGAAGCAAATTCTACAACATCCATATGAAGTTGCATTACGCTACAGTCGAGACGTCGTTCAGAATGTACACCGTTCAGATGGTTAATATTAATGAACCTTTCCATAACGCCTCTAACCATTTTGCGTTGCACAAAAAAGGCACCATAAAAGCAACTGATTTAAAGAAAGCTAGCTTAATACCACGTTCAGACTACAGAGTTATAACATGTTATAACGTTTGTCAAATAATAGCAACACAGAAACCACCATCAAGATAGTGCTATAACATGTTATAAATCTGTAGTCTGAACGTACTATTAGCCATCAGCAGCGAGACATTCAAACAGTTTTTAACATCTTGGTAGGAAGCTGACGTTGGTTCAATTTTGTCTTTCTGGACGCCTTGAATAAATTTTCGTATTTGCGGAGTAATTTTGATTGCCCTCTGAACAGCAGCACTATTTTCCAACCATCGGTGACCGCAAAACTTTAGCGGGAATATGGTAGATCTTGCTGGTACATCTTTGAAGATATTGTAGATACCACGCAAATATTTGACAACATCCCAACTAATCCTGCGAACACTATCCTTGAATGTATGATGCAAAATATACAGCCCACAGCTTCCCAGATCTATCACCTTCTCGCCACCTTTTTGTACCTCTAGCTTCAATTCACATTGGGCCCATCCATGGACACTTGCAGCAACTTGTTCGAAGAAATACCGGCAAGGGCGTCCATAAACGCAGCGAGTAGATCTGATGCCCGGGATCTTCCCAAAAACTTTGACGTCATGCACTGATAAAATTTCAAAGATTGTTTTATGTGTCCCACACATGATTTTTTGCAATGTGATCAACATTATTTTTTTCCCTGACCTACATTAAAATTCCCTGACATTCCCTGACTTTCCAGATCATAAATAGAATTCCCTGACATTCCCTGACTTTCCAGGTTTTTCCAGGTAGTCGACACCCTGAATAAGCTTGAAGTGCAAATAAGAAGAAGAATAAGAGAAGAAGATGGAAACGTCATTCAGGGAAACGCCCTTTTAAATAATGACAATGATGAGATAATCCGTCAAAATAGACCTAAAAATCATTACCACGTACCGCTTGGCAGTACCAACGGATGGATGCAATCAAATAACAACAATCACCACCTACTTAAGAGTTGAAGATTTTTATTAGTTTTGTTCCAATGTCACTTACTTAAAAGAGGTAACATAAAGTGTGATTATATTTCAGTTGTCTTGTCTTGAATTTTCTAATTACACTAATTTTCAATTAGTAGTCTTATTTTACGCACGTTTATAGTAAGAGTACCTTAAGTTAACAATTGTTTTCCACTGTTTTTTTTTGTCTTGATAATTTATTTCACTTGATACTACATTAAAATGGACATAGTTCATTTTCTCTTCCCATCATTCGACTGTTACAAGTAGAATAAATAAAAATAAGCGCTGCTTGCTAAAAGTTAGCTAAAACATGTTCCAAACATACAGTTCAGTTTGAAAGTTCCTTTGAGCATTATCTCCCTTTCAGTTTAACTTAGATTATCACATTGAACTTTTACGGATTAGTAGATACTCGGAGAACTGCTGCGTCTCGACTCCTCCGCCAGTGCTGGCCTCCACGCTGAAACCAGCGTTCAGTAGCCGGGTCAGCACCTGGATCGAGTTCAGTTTACAATAGCCATTTAGCGGGAATCGAATGACCTGTCTGCCGTCGAACTGATTCCAAGCAGCGCCGGTTCGAGCGTCCAGTATGGCTTGATTGGTCTCGGGGAAAACTTCATCCAGGATCGAACGTTCGGCTGAGATCAGAATCCGTTCGCCCAGATCCGGTGAGATGTGTAGCGCAACTACGTCGTGGTTAGCATCGTGCGGTGAGCCGGATTTGCTTCTTTGTCGACTACTCCCGAACGGAGGCAGCCCGTTCCCACTGCGTGCTCGTTCCTTCTTTATCTGATCGATCTGTTTGATCATAGCTGCAAAATACGTAAGGGTAAAATTACTTTCGAGCCGAATTCCTTTGATCATCATGACGAATGTACTCACGAACAATATCGAAATATTTGGCTTCCTCTAGCAGGAGTTCGAGATCGGGGAAATCATCCGCCACCAGAAGCTTGGAGTTGCGCATAAAGTTGAGAATGTGCCGAAACATGCCGCCATCGCGGTCGATGAAGTAGTGCTGTTTGAGTGAGTCCAGTACGATCGGGATGCAGCCGTTGAACAATTTCGCAAGCCTGGAATCCGGGTATCTGAAACGAGGACAAATGTTAGTTGAATGTTTTGTGAAATGCGGTAGTGGATTAAAAATGTGGATAAAGCTCGTTTCGTGTTGGTAGCATAATTTTCCAACGCGAGACGTGTCTCACCCTTTGCTCTGTTTTGCAAAATTGGGAAACTTGCTCAACATTAAGTTCCTCAAACTAGAAACACAGATAAGGTATTAAACTTGAGTTGCTACGCACTAAAACAGCATTTTTTCAACGTTTTAGGGAGCATTTAAGTATTTCTCGAAAAACGCTACAATACCCGTTTTTTCCTGCGTAAAGAGCACAAAACTATTGCAACACTTACAACTGGCTGTAACTTTATTCCTACTAAGCGGAAATTAACCAAACTTTGCATAGTTTCTCTTTGAAGTGTATTGTTTACATCCTGTAAATTGCGTTATTGTCTGTTTCGATGCGGCTAAGGTGGAAGTGAGTCAAGTGAAGACCCGTGAAAAATTGTGTACGCTCACATGGAAAATCCGGAGCTATCTCATCGTACTTTAGGAAAAAAACATACTGAATATTAATAATTCAACCGTATACAGAGTTATAAACAGGTTCAAAGACCGGTTGACATTGGATCACAAGCACGGAGCAGGAAGAAACCGGGAGCAGCATGTAGGAAGACGGAGGGTAACGATGTTGCCAAATAGGTCGGTGTTTCGCAAAGTTAAGTGAAGAAGGTTAATTCGGTGCATTTTGTCCCCAAGTACATTAATCCACTGAACTGAACAAAACTATGCCCAATCAAAACCTATTGGGCCATAATGAAGCGAAAACTCTGAAAGACCAAGAAGAAAGTAAAGGATACAAATGACATGCGAAGGAAATGGATTAAAAATGAGAAAAAGGTATCGGATACGACGGAACATCCTCTTATGGATGGCGTCAATCAAAAGTGTCGGTAATTTAACAAACAACCCCTAAAACCTTATCCAAATATGTATACTGAACGTGTATACAACCACCCTATACATTTGTTTTTTTCTTCTTATAAACGCGTGAAATTCGAGAGCAAATTAAATGTGTGGCAATAATTTCGTGTTCGCCATTTAGATGTTTGGCCTGTCTAAAAGGATAGCACCCATGTGCGGCGATTCAAATATGACGTCCGTCCACTCTTGAGGGGCTCCTAGAATGTGTAATAGGTATGGAAAAAAGCGTGACACAGGGGGGCAGCGGGTGCGGTTAAAAATCACAAAACTTGTGGATGTTATAATTGAATCGCCCCATATCTTTCAGACTAAAGGTCATATGATCAAATATCGTTTCGGTTCTAGGCACAAAAGGCCAAGGCCGTTTAAGTAGCTGCAATAAAACTCCGAAAAACTATTAGCATTAATCGAGAAAATATTCCAATCTACGTAAAAACGTTTGAACTCAATGCAATGGGTTCAGACGTAAATTTATCGAAACAGATTGCTCGCGCACGCAATCTATAATAAATGTTTAGAACTGAGACTAGAAATAGGATCGTTTTCTAAAAGCAGCTAGATTTTTGTTTACATTGTGCTTTCTTTTCGTCGATAGACTGTCAGCTGCACTGTAAATGAAGATATCATTAGACTTTTAGTACAAATATTTTTTCTTCATAGCTAACCTACTGATTCCAAATCGGTAGCCATGCTATAAAATTTGGTACATTAATGACGGCAAACTCCAACCCGGATTAACTTTTAATACCGTCGGTTAGGTACTGATCTAAACTTAAACTTATCAAACAGCTTAAAAATAAAATTTGTTCCTATAAGTAAAATTGAATTTCTTACATCTAACTTAACCAAGAGACATTATTTGCTGTCTATGTGGGTGAAAGGTGAATGAACGGTGATTCGGTCGTGATGTCGAAAGTAAAGTGCAATTGCACTCCAAAGTGCATTCTGCTTGAATTCATTTCTGGTAAACAGTGAATTGCAACCGCACTTCAAAGTGCAAGTGACAGTGCAAGACAATTGCTGCACTCCAAAGTGCATCCTGGTGATACTGCGTTCGTGTCGGGAAGGATTTGTTCATTCCGTTCTCGTGTTCGTGAACCGCGTCGAGAAGGAGCAACTCGTTCGTTTCCGCGATCCGTGACGGAAAGGAGTTTTTTTTCGTATCAAATCGGCAAGGATGTCACGTGTCGTCGCGTGTGCGAATCGTTTAACCAGTTAGGAACGTCGTTCGGATAACGACATCGCCGGAAGTATGGCCACCAGGAAGAAGCTCAAGACATCGAGGCAGGTAATTACCGTGCGGGACCGAAATCCGTACACCTAAGCACGAGAGAATCATTAACGGTCAATACTAAATAATGCTATCACATTATGCTCTGTATCACATCTTTTTCCTTTACATTTATCTTTATTTTTCCAATATTTGCAAACACCAGGTCTTAAAATTACCTTTAATTATTAGAAAAAAGGATTTAAATTGCACATATCGTGAATCAAAATCCGTACAGCGTTTTACGATTGAATCAAAATCCGTACAGTTTTGAATCGAAATCCGTACACTGTGTTGAGGATGAATCAAAATCCGTACAGTCATGAATCAAAATCCGTACATGAATGTAAATCGATCCAAATCAATGAAAAAAAAACGTGTTGCTATCTTGAATAAAGTATTTTTTTTTTGTAGTTGCTTGGCTAAGATTCCAAAACAGCTATATTCGTTTAAATACACTAGTTTACAGCATATTTGAACTTTGTACGCTGATAGTCATTTCCCATGTAAAGTCGTGCGCTGAATCCAAAAATGTAGTCCAAAAAAATCTCGGTAGGATAGTTTTGGAGATATAGGGGTAAGAGAGGCATAGTGAACAGGTGGGGCATAGTGAGCATCGCGCGTGCTCCAGCTTGGACTTCCGGCCGTTTGTTGGCTGTAGGATCAATATCTTAATGATATTGATCCTACTACCAGTTGATTTGTTTCATGCAGTTGGAGATCCAGAGCCAAAGTACGAGATGCTCACTATGCCCCACCTGTTCACTATGCCCCTCCTTCCCCTAGCTAAAAAATGAAATCTCACGTTAAATAAAACTAAAACACAAATATCTCTGGCTGCAATGAAGTGATATTAATTATTTTAACGCCAAATTAAACGTGATAAAATTTTATTTCGATCGTTATAACACTATTTTTTCCGTGAGAGTAATGGTAGAACCACCATAAACATTTTAATTTACATTGCTTAAAAACTTAGCAGAAATTAAATTTTTCTTAGGAAAACTTAAAAAACAAACTATTAACTAACAACAATACCATCAATCTCACTGACAATTGATGTTCAATTGATCGAACGAAAAAATGTCTTACCTCTAATTTAGCGTTAAAATAATTGATATAATCTCATTACAACCGGAGATATTTGTATTATAGTAATCAAACTTGTTTAAAGTGAATTTTCATTTTTAACTGTATCTCAAAAACTATCCTACTGACATTTTTTCGACTACATTGTTGAATTCAGTGCACGATTTTACATAAGAATCATTCGTCAAAGGTTCAAGTTCATTTATTTTACTTTTACTTTTTTAACTAATGATATCAGCGTTAGATTAATTGATGCTCCAATCGATTCAAAGGAGAGGTAACTGAATTCTTTTTATTTAAGAAGGTAACTGTTCTGGATTTTTATGCTAACTAATTCATGTTTAAGGATTAATTTCTTCCAAATTTTATTCTATACCAGTGCTTTGGGTTAAATATTCTTACTGGAGTTTTCCTCCGATCACAACTTCGAGGTTTTCGAAATTTACATGTGATAACGTGCAAGATGCGCCATACTTTGAAACTCCACCAACCCACTGGCATCAAGCGATAAATTAACCGGTTCCTAAGATGGTAGCTCTATAATGGCGGATAAGTAAAAGAAAAACACAACCATCTTAAAAACCAACAAAAAAGACAATGAACTGACATCAAGGATTAGTTTTTCGTTTTGTGCATGAAAATTAAAATTGGTAAAATAACGACTTTAACTTAATTTAATTTAATACGTCAAAAGAGTAATAATCATAAAAATACAGATCTTTCATTGCTTCTTTTCCACAGCTTTCTTCTGCTTCTTCTCCATTGTTACCATTGCCTTTTCAAGTTATAATGCTTTCTTGCTTCCAACCCTAAAACATAACCATAATAGAGAGCTTAACGACGTGTTCGGGGTATCATCAAAACCATTTGTGGGAAAGTTTACCCATCCGGGATAAAGTTCGTTCATGGTATTTGTTTATTGGGGAACTTTCTTTGCTCTTCTTCCTTTTCTTCCTCCTCTTCCTCTCTCGCTCAACCTTTTTCTTTTGTCGTTCCTCAATCCTTTGTTTCTTTGCGTTCTCTTTATCAATTTTCGCCCGCACTACTTTCATGTTTATTTCCGGTCATTCCTCGCTGGTAGCTACTGCTGGGAATGCTCTCTGTCCCATTTCTGTCTGCTCTCTGTAAGGGAGCATCCAAAAATGACGTATCATATTTTTGATCAATTTTATACTCCTCCCCCCCCCCCTCGTAGCGTATTTGGCTATATCCAATACATGGCCGGTCACAAATTCTGAAACCCTCACCTCCCCCCTCAAATGCTACGTCATTTATGCATGGTCCCTAATTTGTATATGCGTGTTGGTGATATCCTGTAGGCGAGCTGCGTTGTTTTACTTTTTGGCTGGTTCTTGACGCTCTTCATTAAAAGATATTAATAATATAACGTTTACAATACGAATAAAATAAGAGAGTAACGATTCAATACGGCATCTCTTATGGTGGTGAATTGAACGGCAAAATCCCTGGATGCTTCTTGGTAAGATTTCTCCGCACGCATCATTGCCATAGTCTTCTCCAAATCCTCCGGCATGTATTTAGTTTCCATGATCTGCTGAAAAACATTGGATAAAGTAGAATCGTCATTAGTGATGCACAAGTGTACGGATTTAGAATCAGCTGTTATATATGGATCGAAATCCGTACAGTACTAATTTTGATAAATAAATACCATATGAACGATCCAT